CTGGTTCTTTGTAACTAAACTGCAAAGGGTTTAGCCTCAGAAAAATGTTGTGTTTGGCCTGTGACCTGCACACTATATTAAAAACGATATTCACGTGAGGTTTATTTAGAAAATCTAATAAACTATCCAAGCAGAAATTGCAAAATGATTAGATCAGTCTTGTGAGGTGTGGAGGAAGCTCAGCTCCAACAGGCAGCTCAAAAAGGAGGCCACTCAGATCTTCAGAGGATGGGCCCTTCGTTTGGCCATAATGGATATGAGGAATGGGGCAGCTGAGATCCCCCACCATTTACATACTTCGACAGAATAAGAGGCCACATCTACTTGAATAGGATGGTGATGTCTGCTTTAGACAGTCATATGACTGGGGGAGAATCTCTTTTTGTACAGCCTGGTTTGTGCAGGATAAATTGTGCCCCTTCTATCTCCAATGCATAGGATGGGCTTTCTTTTAGCAAAAAAAAAAAAAATCCTTGAAAAGAATAGGTCAACATGACATGAAAAATAGCTGGTTAATGCCAACTGGCTGTTCAAGCCCCGAATCTAGTTAAAGAGGTTTCCCATACTATGAAAAGGGCCCATCCCTTTTCCAAACATACTACTTCATTTATAAGGTCTCCCCTCAAATAACAAGTAGCTACCTATGTGTTTCCTTGTTCTGGGATCCCAGCCATGGTCCCTCCTAAAGCTTGCTTGGTGTGAGATCACTTCCTAAAAAAAAATAAAAAAATTCTTGCAAGGCTTTTTGAGGCCAGCACAACTAAACATACTGTAATTTTCCAAGGAGGGCACATGCGGTGACTTTAAGGGTTTGCAAAACTTGTTGAATTTAATCAGAACAAATAAATATAAGCCAGTCCACCCCACCCTTACCACCTCCGGCAGTCATGAAATGGTAGTCAAAGAGAGAGCTTTAAAGACACCTTATTCCAAGCTTGACATCATCCTACTTCAATCAGTTATGTTAATTTGTTGGTTTGTGCCACCTGAAATGCCGCAAGTTGGGAGCAGCTCAGTGCACTTCTTGGCAGTTTCCAGATTCCCTTTATGACCGGCAAATAGCCACAAGTTTCACAAGATTTTCCATCCAGGCTTATACTCAGCTTGTTTGTCTGAAACTCTGGAAAACAACTTGCTGTGACTTCACTAGCAGATATGACAAGAGCACATCGGTTTTTCACTTTATCCAAGAGTGACATCATCATAATTAATAATCTATTAGTTTTAAAACCTGGAGGAGATGATAAACCTCTGAAAAATGTTGTTAGACTGAAGCAGTACACAGACCATTTGCTTTTCAGCAGACTGATGCCTTTACCTTCTTCGAAAGTATTTTGACCCACAGTATCTTCCTTATAGCTCACCCAGCAATAAGTGCATGCGACTCTCCTGCGCAGTAACTTCTTATTCTACACAACAGGGAAGTGATCTCTGCAACCATGGCTATTTCAGGAGCGCAGGCCCACAACTAGTTCTGGTCTCTCACAAACCATTTCACACGGCATGTGTACCTGAAAACTGTTTTCGCAAACCCAGTACAAACCCCATGAAGGCTGAGAATGGGAAGGCAATGCAGAGATATCAAGAGGTTTTCACTAGGTCTGTGCGAAGCTTCGGGTGGTGATTGGATTCGGAGGAGATTCGGCCCGATTCGGTGGCCGAGTCTCTGAATCCGAATTGAATCAGGGGACCAATTAAAAGGAAAAGATTTGGGGGAGCTTTGATGATTCAGGCAGTCCCCAGTTGCTGCAGCAGGGAGATGCAGCCAGACTCAAAGTTGGTAAGTACTAGAAGCGGGGGAGTGGGGGCTGGGGGAGGGGACCATGGGGGACCCCTGCTAGGCCCCGACCCCCGCCTGCTCCCCCATGGCTGCCCCACCCACTTACAGGGTGCTGCCAGGCAGGGAGGTGATCCCCATTGCCCCCCAGTGCCCATACTGCATGGGGGGCTCTGCCACGAGCCCCCTGACCACCCCCCTTGCTCCCCCAGCCCCAACACGGGTGCCCTGCCCAGGCCAGCTCCAGGCCTTTAAGAAAAAAAAGCCAAGAAAAACTCCGGGACTCACTGGTCCTGCAGCGGCCTTGTGCAGAACCCCCCACATGGCACAGGGCAGCGGGGATCGCCCCCCACCTGGCAGCAATGGTGAGTGTGGGGTTTTCTCGAGGTTTTTTTCCTAAAGGGCCGTAGCCATGGTGGGTGGGGCAGCCATAGGGGGGCTGGAACAGCAGGAGGGAGGGTCGGGGGCTCATGCAGAGCCCCCTACAAAGTGGGGAGCAGCAGGAATCACCCCCCTCCTGGCAGCACCCGGTGAGATAGGGCTTTTACTTTCCACGTGCCAGGAGCTGGGGCAGCCATAGCCAGGCTGGGAGAGCAGGCAGGAGATTGGCCTGGGAGATTCGGAGATTTGGCAGCAGCCGAATCGATTCAGGGCCGTGATTCGAATCACTGTCCCCCAAATCGGCCAAATCCGAAGCAAATACTAGCCGCTTTGCACAGGCCTGGTTTTCAGAGCCTCAGAGAAACACCTGACTCTCGGACCCTGAGCAGAAATAAGACCTTATTCTCTGAGGAGCCTCCCAGGAGCCAATGGCAAATTTCTTCAAATAAAAGATTCTCGTATTCCTAATGTTCCTGCCATTTGAAAGCAAATGGACCAATCTGAGGAACTGATATCTGAAGAAACAGATGGGTCACTGAACAATGCCATGATCTATAAGCGTACTACCAACTTACTACCTGCTAATTTCATTTTGCGACCCCTAGTTCTGTACTTGTATGTGGCACGGTTATACTTGCGTTACTGCATCAGCACTTGGTTTCATGAGGATAATTATACAGGTTAAAAAAAAATCAAACGCCTATTCAGTATTATCAAATGGGTACCAAAACCTGTGTGTAGATGAAGCCTAAGGAAAAGCACCGGTTTCTCAGTACTGCTGGACTAGTCACATACCCCCTGCTCCCAGAACAACTTCTTGAGGGTATGGACACAGACACATTTGGATCCCTTTCGAAAGGGCAATGTTTCAAAAGGGCAGCAGCTGGTGAATTCGAATTGTTATGTGTGAAAGAGCTGAGAGCAGTTCAGAAGTAATAAAATCACTCCAACTTTAACCCTGGATGAAGCAATGTCATGCTGATGCCGGCAGGTACCCTGATTTGTGCTATGCCGTCCCCTTTCTGGAAATGCCTCTATTTTTAAAATAAATATGCCCATGATAGAAGCAGAAATATGATTCTATTGCCATGGATTTATTCAGCTCACAGGCTGGTGTGTGTTACACGTTCCCTGCTGTGCCTGATCTGCAGGGGTTATGAGACTGTTTCGTTTCTCAGCATGGATGCCTGGCTGTTTTGCTCACACTGAAGAGATTCAGTTCTGTCTCTGGCATGTCAGCTAAAGTGGCAGCCATTATACTTGCCTCCTGAATCATCAAGCAAATGCATACATTTACATAAACACCTCCAATTTGGTCCGTGGTACTTCAGATCCCCACTACTATGGGATCACATAATATCTAATACCACCCCTGAGGAGTGGTTAAATATCATTGCTGGTATTTAACCTCCCTATAATCACCTATGAAATATTTCAGTACAGTGAGAGATATTCTAGAGCCCCCATTCCAAGTTATATTTATAAATAGGTCATAAAGGGGTAATTAATGATTAATAGATGTTTTAATGGTTACAGACACTTTCAGTCTAACAGGTTATGTCAAACTCCTCCTACTGATGTGCTTATAACCCGTATGTGAGTAGGGCATGGGAAAAGCCAGTACATACGTGCAGTATATCAGAGTTTCTCTGAAAATACTCTTTTGTTCTCCAGAATCCCAGTTTTCATTGTAAAAAATGAAGCCTCTCATTTAGAAATGAGAAAATCTCAGAAACATGAATGGCGTGTCACCACTACGGAGATGACTGCTGTCTAATTGAGTTTGGAACAACAGCTCTGAGATGTGTGAACTGCCCTGTTCAGCTGATTCAGCGCGTTGTGAACCCAGATGCCCAGGGATCATTTGAATGTCAGCATGTTCAGCTGTTCCTTTCCAGTGGAAGAAGGAAGAAGGAGAGTCACAGGACTGCCCAATTTGCTGTGAGCAACATCTCACTTTGGTGCCCCAGGTTAGGAGGAGGTACCTCAATCAAGGAGCCAGGCGCAAGGATGCTAGCAGCAGATGTGGGCATTGCCAAGACCACTGAAGGGGCAACCTTACTCAAGAGAGATGCATAATCACATTTTGGTCATGTGCACAGGTGTCACCCAATGCAGTGATTCAAAAAAGCCGAGCTTTTTGCAGGGGGAGCTTTAGTTCTACCACCTGCTTTACACCAAACTAGCACCTTTCTGTTAACATCTGTAATGTGCTCATAAAGTCTATTAGTCCTCCATTAGCCCTTTCTAAACTATTTATAAATATCCAACTAATATAAAGTATAACCTTAGGCAGATTGTTCCAGAGCCCAGGCCTTCTGCTTTTGAACTCGGTGGCAAAAATTACAGTCATCAATGAAAGGAGGATCATGACCATTCTCCGTTTTAAGTGGCTGGGGCCAGACCCATTTGGAAGAAGCTTCATTGAGACCTTACCAAATGACACCACAGAAGGACATCTTTGAAAGGGGTGATGCATGGCTTAACATTATTTGGCCACCCATTTGCTTTAAAATATTATTCCTAAAACAATTGAATGAGTTCGCTAAGAGAAAAAAAACCCAACAAAATGTTCAGTCCTGAAATGCTCCCTGAAAAAGCTCATTTGAAACCAACCAGGAAATCAGAATCTAAGATGAGGGATCGAAACAAGGGGTTACCTTATGTTGGAGCCAGCTGAGGTATTCAACACGTCGTAAGCAAGGAGCACAGCCAAGTCTATCACTACACTTTCATAAAGCTAACCTCAGTCAGTTCACATTGAGTTGTGGCCATATGATTTGCTCTCTTCGCTGCTGTAGAGACTCTCTTGAAGGTTTGCATTCGTTTTTATAGAAGAGACATGGCACAAACGGGACTTATCATTTTTCTGCTCATTACCATACTACTGCTGGATCAGACGACTGGCCAGCCCTCCAGATTCAAAACCAGAAAGCACAGTAAACGTCGAGTGAAAGGTAATCAGTTTTATTCTGGGGAGAGTGTATACCTGGGGTTTTTTAAAGCTGGGGTTTTATAGTGTGCTTACACACTATGTGATTCATCAGAAATTAGTAGTATGTAAATACTTATTAGCAAAGGAAATCTTTGCCTGTGTTTAATCCATTGAGAGAAAGGACTTTATATACATTATTTAGGTTACAAGCAAAGTGTGATATGTCAGACTGGATTTGCAAATCGGTACAGCTGCACAGGGACAGACACTCTGCTCTCAGTTGTGCCTATTATATCCCACTGAAAGTATTTAGGATACATACATTTAACTGAGGACAGAACTTGGTCTCTTATATTTAATTATGACGGATATCGCCAGGAAGAATCATGTACAGGAAATTGCTATTCGCGGGCTCGGCATTCGTGGTTTCAAATATTTGCCAGTGCCGAACCCGCATCTTAAATACACTTACAGGAGCTCCTTGGGAGCTTAGTGCTTGCTGCCGCCAGGCTCCTGCCGCTGCCAGTGCAGCCGTGCCCCCTCCCCCAGCCACTGGGGGCACTACGTTCATGAACGCAGGCGGCACTCAGGAGCGCAGTGCCGTATTCACGGATTTTGCCATTTGCAAGGATCTCAAGAACGTATCCCCCACGAATGGCAAGGGTCTCCCGTATCATGTTCATCTACTCTAAACAAGCAGAATAAAATAATAAGCCTCTAGGATATAATATATTCCAACAACAATCCAATGCTAGAGAGTTTTTTGCATTTTTGATGAGAATATTTGTGGGATAGTTGTAGAATAGTATTTTACCCAGTTATCAAATGCTATAAAATGGTGCAAATAAAAAAGAATTAGTGGAAAAGAAGCACAGAGTAAATGCCCTAGAGGAGGACATGGATAACCCCCTTGAATATTGTTCATCAATTAGATTTAAACCCTTACTTCCATTTTTTTTAAGTGTAGTGTACGCTGCATGGTTGGTGAGTACTTAACCACTAGTCAGTGATGAGTAAGTAGCTTTCTAAGGCCATTTCATAGCATGGTCTATCTATCCTTAAACTAAGGATTATTTGCATATGTATTTCCCTGTCTAGTAAATGTATCTATCCCCTTTCTTCTGAATTCCATAAGGGTTTTTTGAGTCCATGAATTTTACTGTAAAACAACGGCATTTTTCTCCCACGTATGAAAACATACCTGCTTTTTCCCACTAGGTTTAACATTCAAATCTCTTATACATTACATTTTAGTTTAACATAAACTCACTTTTTTCTCCTCTGTTTCTTATTTTTGTTGCTGTTGTTTTCTTTTGTTCTTTACCCCCAAACCTTAGTTATTAATTGAAAAAATGGAACAAGAGACACTGAGGTGGAGCTGCTGTGTGGGAGGTGCAAGATTTTTTTCTCGGCCACCATTTTGTTGGTGGTGTTTTAAGTGCGACAAAATGGTTACTTATTGTCCTACAGCAGGTTCTGTGTTAAATTGCTGTGTTCATATGATCAACATTTCTGTAAATAAACAATATGCTTCTCCTGCCCGTATTTAAACTCCGTGCACACGCACATTGAGGAGTTAGCGCAGAACTGAATGTGCAAATTCTGGACTCTATTATAAACTGGCATACGGATGATCAACAACTGGTAGTTACCTGTGATCCACATTTTTTTCAGGCAGCTACTAACACGTGCTCACATTGAAAGCTGTGATTAAATTGGGGAATGAAAGGCCAGGTCATACTTTTCTCCTATGGGGCCCAGAGATTCTCTAATTAAGCCAGCATTTAGGAAAATTAGAAGGTAGCGCACCTCTTCACCTTAGAGCCACTCCTATTCCACAGGGGTCAAGAGGTTTGCCACTGACTTCAATGGGGCCGGCATATCAGCCCTAGTATCTAGGTTATCCTACTTTTGCCCACAGGTGGATAAACCAGGCACAAGGTCTGAAGATTTTCTCTTAGAAACCCACACAATAAAATCTTTGTTCATCAAGGATTCAGAGCAAAGAACACCTGCATAATTGTTTGTTTAATTGCACCCCAGGAGCCGACTACTAATTTATGTACTTTTCCTGTTAATTAACATGTTTACAGTATTCATTGCAAATTGCTTGAATCAGCCACAGCAGTAACAGTAATAATAAACTAACATTTTCCAATTCAGGCACCTAATACAGGGTACCAAAAAGTGACTATGGGGTTTGCTTGAAGTTCTTTTGCTAAGAGTATGAAATGGGCTCCAAAATAATCATTAGAAGCCTAGTCTTAAAAAGCAAAAATCAGTTGAACCGAATTCTCAACTCCATCATCAAATCCTCATGAGTAAATTTCTTTAGATATAGGGGCACAAACAAAGGCCTTCTTCATGTCTTCAAAAATAATGACTGATCCCTGCTTTAGACTTTAAATTTGTACTGCAGCAGCCTACCATAATGCTAAACTTTGCCCTGGTAAGTTAGTTTTATTAAATGCAGTTACTAGAATCAGTTATCTATGCAACTGCATTGTTCATGAACTTTTGTTGTTCTGCTCCATTATCACATTGCTATAATCCCACTGACTTCTTTGGAAAAATGTCCATAGATATCACTTAGAACAGAACTGGACCCTGGGTAAAGATTTTATTTAGTTTGTATTCATTACAATTACATTGGTTTAGATATTGCATGTCTATGACATTGAATTAATTGTTATTTAATTCTGTTGTATTTTGATTGTCTCTGAAAAACTCTGGAGTTTTTTCACCTGGGGAAGGGCAGGGAGTGATTTCATCAATATTGTAATTGCTACTGTCATATTTATCTCCACAAAAGACAGTTCTGACTTGAAGACATTCTTGGATGTATGTCGATGTATGTTATTGTATTTTTATTAGTTTGCTGCTTTGTTTGCTTGTTTAAGAAAAGGATGATCTGAAGACTCAGATTGACAAGCTGTGGCGAGAAGTAAATTCCCTGAAAGAAATGCAAGCACTTCAGACAGGTAGACCATGTTTTATTGGCTCATTGTTACAAGACAACATCCTTCCACCACCTGACATACTACATCTTCAAAAAGGAATTCTGCCTCCTTGACAAGTAGGATTCCTTACCACAATGGGTTTTCCAAAGAAATAAAAAAGATAGCACCAAGAATAAATCTGGAGCTATAAAAGCAAAACTTGAGTGGAGACAAACTCTTTAATTCTTTTCCATTTAAGTCTATTCAAATGTTTGCATGCTGCAGGACTGGTTCCCAGGATCTGTGTTATTTCTGCGAGGATAATACTGCAGTAGCCACATACTGATGGCATTAGTATAATGATGGCCTTTATGTAATAATGAAATGCTATGACTAAATATCGCTTTGTCACTCTGCCACCAGATGTTCTGCTGATAGAAAGTGGCTACTACTGTAAACCACCTGAGCATGTGCACATCTGTATACCTTTGGCAGCTCCAGGTGTCTCCACTCAGCAGCTCTGCCACCAGAGCATATAGTTCATGTACCACTGAAGGGACCACAGCCCCCCAGCAGAAGGTGAGGGAGTGTCTACACATACTTTGTGCTAGATGCTGGTTGGTGGCAGAAGCTTTACTCCACTTAGTAGAGGTGGTATAGATGAGGTCTGGATGTGGACAGAGTGTCAGGAAATTTCTGTCAAGTGGTCATGAACAACTTTCCCTGTTCTCATGGCTGCGTGGGCAGAGAGGTTAGATCACACTGGGAGTGGGGACACACATCTAAAAAGGTGGCTGGAAAAGTCTGAGAATCTATAGCTTATATAAGAGAGGTTAGGAGGCTAGAAATTTCTTGAAGTGTACAAGCTGTTAAATTCAAATATTAATATTACTATAAAACCAAGTTTCAAAGCAACAATCACTGCTAGTTGAGGGCTGGCCTGACTGAATATACAAAAGCCTTGGAACAGGGGTTCCCAAAGTTTTTATGCCGCAGCCTGGAAGCAGCCATGGCCCAGCAAACTGCAACCAAGCAGTCACAGCCAACCACAGCTGGAATTGCCAGCCAGAAGACAGGCAAGGATACCTCCATGCCCTGGGCGGGGTGGGGGCAAACCCTACGCTGCCACAGGCCCTGCGGAAGGAGCCACAGCCCCTCCACCTGGCTCTGGCAGGCCGCGGTTTACCAGTCCACGGCCACTTCCGGTCCAGCCACCGACCCACCACAACCTGGCACCGGGCCACGGCCCAGGGATTGAGAACCCCTGTTTTAGAAAGTCTGATGGACATTTGCAAAATAAGGACATTAATTAACTATCCAGTTAGGAAATGGTTCTATTGTGCTGCCCTTAAACAAGTTGGCAATTACACATGTTGGGGGACATTGGACTGGAAGTGACATCACTGACATGAGATGAAACTTTTTTGACCAAGAATAATAGTATTTGAGGAAGTTCGTTTGTTACACAAACTTACTTACAAAAGTTAGTTTTGAGTTTTACAAAACATATTTCCATTTTAAATAGTCATAGGAATGTTGATTTGAGCAAATAATTTATAGCTAACTAAACAGAAGTCTGTGCTAAGCAAATAATTTTCTTGTTCAGAAAGTAAATTGCCCTGCTTCTCCAAATAGCTGGAGAATAAATGTTCAGGAGCTCAGAATTCAAACCAAAGCCAAAAGGAAGTCGACCATCAACACTTATTTTTAGCCTTGTTTCATACGTAGAACCTACAATGATCAAATATGACAAAAAAGAGGTCGTCCATGTCTTGCTCTCATCACACATGGTTGCTGAGAATCCCATCACATTTTTAAAAAGAGCTGAGTGTTTTAATTCATAGGGATGCTCAAGATTTCCATATTACAATGAGACTTATTAGTGCACTATTTCTCCTTGTTTCTCTTTGTCATATGCTATTGTGCACTGTTGCTAAATGACCTTTATCAATAGAGGCTTTCCACTTGAAAGATGGCTAAATTTCAGTGATAAGTGTATGGCTATCAATACATAGTTTTTTAAAGTCTTTTGGCAATCTTTCCAGATGAAAGATCTCCTATAAAGACAAGTTGCTAAGGATTATTGTATCATTTGCCTCTTGTAACTTTCCTAGTTGCAGTGGCTGAAAAACTTGAAGGATGCTCTTCAGCACTTCAAGAAGTTAAAGAATGAAATGATGAACAATGATGAACATAAAATGCAACCGAAGGATTCATTTCATTACTCTAATTGAAAATACTGCTGGCCTTGCAAATATACAACTTGATCCAAAGTTGCTAAAGTAGATGGATTTGTGAGTCTTTGGATCAGAAGCTTAGGAAATCCTTACATAGAAGAAAACAAGCACAAATTTTAACCGTTCAGGGATTTGCAACAGTTTAGAAGAGTTAAACATGGGAGACGCTCATATATTTTTCACAAAAGAAGAAATTCTTTCTAAAATATGCATAAAGCATCATGACCCCGGCACATCTATTCAGGCAAGAAAACATTTAGCACTTCTGAAAAACAGAGCCTTTAGGAGAGTTGTGGGACTGCCACATATGGCTTTACATGAACTTACCTCTTGAAATCCTTGTCTTAATGCAAGTGAATATTATTTGCGTGAAAAGCAGTAGAGGAATATATTAACTTGGGGTTTGGGACATAAACATGAAATACTGGAATTGCTGCTAATTATGGGACTGATGTAAACATCTGCATACGTAATTTTGCATTTTTGGTGCAGAGGTACTGAATGGTGACTTTGTTTTTGAGACTTTTTGAGTAGAAACCTTCATCTTGGCTAGGTTTGTGCACATTGGAAGAAAGCTCTTTGGAAGTATTTATCAGAGTCACCTCACTTCCATGTAATTGTCCGCATTACAGGAGAAGAGAAGTGATAGTTCACTGAGGGTTAACAATTCATTCCAGCAAACCCTTCCTTATGTGAGTAAAGCTGAAGAAACTATAATGACTGCTCTTCAAAGCGAATTGCAGGCTTTAAACCAAATGTATATCCTAGTACATTTGTTTTTGCCATTAAAACATTCCTGATATGTTCCGCTAGATGAAACCAATGAAGACGTAGGCTTTGCAAAGGACAAGCTGGCACTCCTTGTGGTCTGTTACCACATGGGTTGTACAGACAAAAGCAAACAGTTTAGTAAATGAGGACAGAATGTCAACTTCTAATGACAATGTGTGCACTGTTGCCTTTAGAAAAAGGCATTTATAGCCCTAACTCACTCTAGGTCACTTGAAATGGGAGTCTGAAGGGAAGGGCTTTATTTAGCTGAAAGAATGAACTGACTGGAAATGAAGAGCTAGAGGTAATTGTTTTATGTCTTCTGTAAGCTCTTCTGCCAGTGGCAATATTTATTCATCACCTGTCCCAAAATGATGAATTTCAAATCAATATCTTTCAGACAAGCAAGATGCTGTAAACAACACCGCAGCAACATCTGTCCCATACTTGTTTGCTAGGAAGTAGGCTTAGTTAATGCAGAATGCTTTACTTTGGCACTTTAAATGTCCTAAGTATGAAAAGACCTTTAGATCTAGACTTTGGTGCAAAGCCAAGTATACACTTCTTGATGTCTTAGCCTCATCTGCCAAGAACACAAACATCTATTTCACTGCGGAATAAGTTATGAAACTGATGAAGTGAGGCAAAATATGCAAAAGTGGCAGTAAGGACTATTTATAAAAGTCAGTTGTAAGACAGATAAACAACAGGCCGAGGTCATTTTTAGCATTCTGAAATAACAGAATAAGGAATCATGAGGAAATGAAGTTACTGGAGGGGACTGGGATAGAGGGCTTAATGTTCCTTCCTATAAATAAGCTACAAGTCAGATTTTTTTAAAGCATTATACAGAGTTACAGTCACAAGCCACATGGATGTTAAGTGGGACTCATGTCCAGCAGCATAATAAGCAGTGGGCAGCCAGGTCACCAGCTGGTGCCCAATTAGAGGAGTCACGTGAACAGCAGCTGCTGCCAGCCTAGGTGCCACAGCTGGACCGGCTCTTCCTGCTGCTGTCACCCAGGGTGCAGTCTCTGGCTCTTATGCCTCTACATGTGCCTAAATCCCATAGGTACTTTAGAAAATCTCTCCCTAAATACTCAACCTTTTTCAAAACTATTCATTTCTTACTGAATATGTCAAACCAAATCTGTTCACAGTCTGTCTTCGTGGAACGAAGGTTCATAAGAAGTGCTACCTCGTGTCAGAAGGTGCTAAGCATTTCCACGAAGCCAATGAAGACTGCATATCCAAAGGAGGGACGCTGGCTATCCCCAGAGATAATGAGGAAACCAATGTTCTTCGAGACTATGGCAAGAAAGGCCTTCTAGGGGTGTCGGAGTTCTGGTTGGGTGTCACTGACATGGTAAATGAAGGAAAATTTGTTGATGTCAATGGTATGGCTTTACACTATTTCAACTGGGACCGCTCTCAACCCAATGGTGGGAAGCGTAAAAACTGTGTCTTGTTTTCCCAGCCCTCTCAAGGCAAGTGGGTAGGTGAAGTGTGTCGTACTGCCAAAAGATACATTTGTGAATTTCTGATCCCATAACTTCATTCAGAGCTGGCCGTGCCAGCTTATTTAGTCATTAATATGCAGTTTTGCCTGGCACTGACCTTCCCACTTAGACAGTGGTGAACTGAAAATATTTGTTGAAATTCCTCACCATATACACACCTCTTTCACAGGCAGGAATTTTCTCTATTAATTTATTTTCCATTCTCTTGCTACAAAATGTCACGTTTAGTGAGTTCTTTCACCACCTAATTTTAGCATATGCCGTGTAGTGAATATACCTAACACTGTTTTAAGCTGTATTGCATTATAGTATCATAGTTTGATGTTCGTTGTTACTAGTGCCTTGAAGGGAAAATTCATCTCAGACCTGCACTTCATATGTCTATAAATGAGTGTTTGCTTCAGCACTCTGGTCAATATTAATGAAAGTGGCATGCACAGAACACCCCATAGGGTGAAATTTGCCAACCTATAAGGTCTCACAATCAACTCACAATCAACTGAAGTCCCACAATTTAAGTAGATTTTTTAACAATGTGAATTTCTGCATAGGGTGAATTTCACCATAACCAATCCAACCAAGAGTTCAAAGATTTTGACCTAAAGGGAAAAAAACAAACAAATCTGAAGGCGGTATAAAAAAGTATGGAGTTGTAAGTGGTATATTCCTGAAAGAAATATTCACAGTAAATATTCTGAAACATCAGCCAGTCTAGAAATGTTTGGTTCCGGTCCTAATAGTTCGATTATTATTAAATGTAATATGTACCATTTGGAACATTCTTCTACCCATTTTGAAGTGTCAAATGAGGGCTAGGCCATGCCCTTTAACCTACAATATGGGGCACACAGAAGCACCTTGGAGGAACAGACAGAGGTATCATACTTCAGAGAGAAACATTACTTCTCCCAGGTTGATGGGATATATAGTGGGCAACATACTCCCTTAGGCTGTAAACAGATATCTCATTTGACCCAGGTTGACTGTCCCAGGATTTGATCCGAATTAAAATTGCTGCAGCCTAGTCCTGCACACACGCTGCCCTTGCTGTTCCTTTGTCGGTAAGTGACCAGAGAGAACTCACAGTCTGACAGGGTCGTTCCTATAATAAACTGCAATAACCATACAGGCATACAACAATATTCTGGGAAAATGTACTGGTGGATTTTATCCGACATACTTGAGAAGGATTTGAAGTGGGTTGGTGGACATGTACAAGCCTGGAACAAAAGACTTTCTTCCAGGACAAATGTGACATCCGTTTGTAGCCACCTTCACTCGCTGGTATAAGGGGTGATCTGACCCGTGTCTTCCTTATGCCTTCCCACTCCTCTCCCAACTACTTCCCCTAAGACCTACATCAGAGGGTTCCCCCTGCTTCCCTATAAGCCTCATTAGCCAGGGGGTGCTCTAACCCTCTTTAAATACTATATTTCAAGTTGGGACTCTTTAAGAATAAGTAGATATCTTCATGGGTAAAAATCAGAATAGCTCCACTACAGTCAAGGGAGCTTCACTGAATTACAGAAGAAGAAATATCACTTCTGTTTTTTGCTGTTCTTAATCTTCCAAAAAAACCCTATAAACTACAGAAATGAAGTTATAGGAAAAATGGCAGCCAAATGCTTTACTTGGCATCAGCTGAATATCACTTTATTTTAGTATTATGTTAAGGGTAATTTGTCAGATTTGCATTATAGGACTAGCATTAATTATTTAAATGTACTGCTGCTTGGAGGTCAACTCTTTCTTTTCCTTTATTTAATTGTGCAATAAATCTTTGAATTCTGCAATATATCTGTTATTGCTAGTACTTAATGGTGCTATTTAATTGTATTGTTATTTTGAGAACCCGTATAATCAGTATTTCAAATATAGCTTATATGCATATTTTTTTTCTGTAGAAATGATATATGCATCCTGTGTGAAAAAAAAAAAGAATTCAATACTGAAATGAATAGAAATCTGCCATTCACTAACTATTTGCTAAAACAAGAAAAATTGAAAAGGCTTCTTCAGGCTGAAATTAGTTTGGGATTCAGATTTAGGATTCAGATTTGAAGTCTTCATACAAATTCAGCTGCCCTTGTTACATTTCCACCATCTGGTGCTTAATCATTCATGACATTTCAGTACTGTCAGCCAGTGCCATAGTAAGGTGTGGGGGGGCAAGTGGGGCAACCTCCCCGGGGTGCCGAAGCTAAGGGAGGCCAACAAGAGCTGCCCAGCTGGGGTGGGGCCCAAGATGGAGCTTCAAATGGCTCATTTGGGGGGTGCAGGGATTGGGGAAGGATGGCTCCCACCACTGCACTCCTGGATAAGCATGGGGGGGCATGTGCCCCCCAGATATGGGCGCAGGGCAAGGGTGGGCTGCTGCTGTGGGCTTTTCCCCAAGCACCACACTTCCTTGCCACGGCACTGCTGTCAGCTATACAAAATGAACCCATTCTGGTTTTAGATCTAACCTAAAATTAAAATTGTCAGGTTCAGGGCTCCATTTGCACATGGGCCCACAGGAAGTCTAGGTGGAGAGCTGTACCTTTATGGAAAATAGTCTGTGAAGCCACATACCTCAGTAGTCACTCAGGGTGGAGCTTCCCACCATTAGGACTGGTCAGCATGAGGACAGGAGACCTGCAAAGACAGTATTAGGTGCGGCTAGAAATGCTATTGACTTTTTAATATGTGTCAGTTTTTCCAATAATCCCATGCTCCAGTAAGGTACCAAGGGCCCTATAGGGTTAGTGGGGCAATCTTCCAGGTGAGATATGAAATTACCTGATGGCATCTACTCATTTACCAAGGTAATTACCACAGGACCAACAGAGGTAAACATGCATTGTCTAGCCAGTTTTCAGTTTGAATAATTGCATTGTATCCAACAAAATTATTCTCACAGCTTCAAGCAGGTAAGTTATTCTCCTCATCTTCAACAATGGAGCAATGGTGCTGAACCCTAATAAACAGCTGCTCCGTTCCATTCTCAGTGATGAGCGATGGGGTCTTGACATATCCATCAACATCCTGCTTTTTCTGGTGGAAGTTATGTGGGCTGCAGACCAGTGTCAGGAGCAAGTATATTCTTAGACACTGTTTGATGATGCAGGGTAGCATTACTATTACTCCTACTGCACCCATACCCATAAGAAAGCTATTTCCCCAGGTCAGTGGTTGTCAACCTTTTGCAAGTCAAGGAAACCCTTGTGTGACTCAAGGTACCCCTTAAAAATGTCAGCTCTTAGTTCTCACTCTGTTTTTGATTATGGAAAAATAATAGAGCAATTCTTCCATTGCAAAAAAACCCCCAACAGGTCAGAATATTTTCAGCACTATGGATTCCTATTTGAAATCTCTGTCTTTATCTTGTGACATATCTTTGCATGTTTGCACACCTAACAGTATTAACATTGCATGGCACTCTGTAGCACCCTTAAAAGAATCTCAAGGCACCCCAGGGTACCACAGCACCCTGGTTGAGAATCACTGCCCTAGGTGAATGTCATTTGTTCAGCTCTTCATGAATCTGTCACAAAGCCCAAACGAGACACCTTTATATTCATCTTCTGAGGAATTTTATCAAAGGAAAACTATCCTATTCAACAGGCTGTTAGGGTCTATTTTGCTTATCAGATGCTGTTGAGTTTTGTTGCTGACTTTTAATTGTGATTTAAATGTCTACAATAGCTTGTCATTGCCTTGAGCTCTGGCTCATTGGGCTAGTTAATTATGTCAACTATGCAAATGTCAAATTCAGAATAATTTTGGAAATATTTACCAGTACAGCAACACCGATATATACCAGCTTCAAAGGTGAATTATTTATTTCTTGTCAGTTTTCTTCCTTCTCCTTTAGGTACTAACAAGTTTTTGAGGTTATGAACAGCAGAATAAAGCAGTTACGGACAACATTGGAAGACATACTCCAAACTCACTGGATGCCATTGTACGCACTGTTAAACAAACAGGTGCCTTACTAATAATCCATGAAGACATACCTAGTATGGGGACATAACTCAAGGTCTTAAGGCAAAATATGTACCTTTACAGTTCAAGAAAAGCAAAAAAAGATGGGGGGAAAAAGAAGCTGGGAGGGGAAGAGAAAGGACTGGGAATGAGGACTGCAGAGTGAACAAAGGAGAAACTGGCACAGAGAAGAACAGGAAGGGAAGATTGAGGAAGAAAATGTTCCTCCCACCCTCTTGCTCTGATCCATGAATGGCTCCCCAGAGGGGGTCCATGACGCTGGTACTTGTGAATCCAGACACTAGTGATGGGAGCCCCCCAGCAGCTGATTGCTCAAATAGTGTTAACACATTGTCTACTACCCCGAGTTCTCCTATACACATCCTCCCTCATCCAGCAGACATTGTTAACCACCAGTTGCACACAATTACCTACAGTTCTGTCTCAGGAGAGACCAGGCTTGGGTTCAGATCTTTCCTCCTTTCCCTCCAGCAGTCAGGGTAGCCCCCTGGCACCAATAAAAAGTCCCAGAACATAGCAAAGCTTCTTTTTTTTTTTTAACCCAAAAACTTGCTTAAAAATTGTTTTCCAACTACTTAAGTTGGTCTAATAAAAGATATCAGGTTCACCCAAAGAGCCTTGAGAACATAGCAAAGGCATACTAGTTCCTTCAACCCAAACTGCTACTCAGCCCTGGTTTCCCTCCGAATCACTTTCTGTGATCATGTCCCGTGTGCAAGTGGAGTAATCTGGCAGCAGATGACAGGCATCGGATACCTAATGGAGAAACAATTCTGGCATCAATTACAGAAAAAGTCAGGAAGTTTCTAGCCTCTCTGTGCTAATCCTGCAGCCGCTCCAGATGCTGGGACTTTACTTGTGTCCCAGAACGGTAAGTGAAGCAGGCTGTTCACATGTCAGCTACTGCTCTTGTGTTTGAGGCAAGAACAAGAGACTGGGAAGCAGCATGGAAAGCATTGAACTAATCCCTGAGCTGACATAGCGCAGCAGTGTTCAGCATCTCCTGGAAATAATCAAAGTTTGAGGACACTGACATAAAACCCTTCCTTCATCAAGAGAGAGAGAAGGAGCAATGTTTGGAAGAAAAGTTCTTTTCCCAGGTGCTCATGCACTACAAAGACAGAAAACATAGACCTGTATATACAGGCAGGATTACATAGCCAGACAGGCCACTGAAAATAACTGTGCACAAAACACAGTGCACAGCTTTTTAACCTCTTAAATAGTCTGTCTCCCCAACTTCAGTTGTAACTAATTTTAAGAGATTAATTAGCATTTTCTTTCACTTGCATAATTTGTGAAATAAAAAGACCAAGATAAATCAAGGTAGGGAAGAATGGAGCTTATATAATAAAATAAAAAATGAAAATGGGAGGAATAACTATTAAATTCTACACATTTCAGTACACTAGATGTTTCCTTTAACTTTCTGCCAAACTATTAGCTTCCATACACTCTCTGATCTTAACATTGAATATAGTGATACTTAGTGAGCTTTTGGAAATTTAGCTACTGGTTTGTCTTCAAAAGAACAGGTTAAAAACTTAAAACTTATGTTTGGAATAGACCCCTTCATAGCTTTTTCCCAAAGAAAAAAAATCCTTCATAAATCTCAAAATTTGCATTATATACATTAAAGAAAGAGTTGTAGAAATATTTGTGCTTGCCAAAAATGTGGTCTTGGGCAAATTAAAATTAATTATTTAAAATATTTCCAATTTTACTGGAAAAAGTGTGGAGGGGAAACAAACTATCAATTTTTCATGAAAACTTTTGGGTATAGAAACAGGCTATTTTTAAATAAAAATGTTTTTACTAAAAAATGAAGTGAACTGATCCAGCATTGACCACCAGCATTTTGTTTCTCTGGAGATGGTTGGTTCTATCGCAAATGAAGACAAGACTGTCAGTATTTCTTTCACCCAGTAGAGGTCTACCTTCACTTAGCAGAGACCAGAAGGCTTTTCAGATATGAGCGAAAAGTATACATAGCACTAACCAGTTTGCTCAAATGATTTTTTTGGCTTTGATGTCATAACATAAAAGTTTGGTTAGTATGTAACAGAGATTAAGAACAAAAGTGAGGTAAAACCTAACTTTGAGAATCTATCTAGGGAACATAGAAGACTTAAAAATGAGCTATGGGGCCGCTACTCCCTGAATATGCTGACAGTCATGTAAAGAGCTTCTCACTTGAAAATAAATTCATAATTTTTGCTGCTGTTGGCCTCAACCTCCAGGAAACACGATATACCAAGACTTCACTGTGTCAGGTGCTGTACAAACACAGATAAAAATTTGGTCTCTGCTACCGAAAGACAATATAAACTCTGTAACCTTCCTAAGAATGGAGTATATTATATATATATATTTATTATTTACTATAAGCAGGTCCACCTCCTACCCAGATTCCTCAGTGGTTAGTCCCACTGATAATTTGAATTTCCAGCACAAAATCCTCCACAGTCACCTACCAATGACTCACTCCCAAATTTTATTTCTACCACTTTCCCTCAACAATAGATTCTGTTAGTTCCTTCCCTTGGCACATGGCTGTAAAGTGTCTAGCACCAGAGGGCTACCATAAATCCTATAAGAAGTAGTAGCCTCCTCTAATGAGGTCATCAATGATTTTCCATCATGAATGATGTCATTGTGTGACTCCTTTGCACAGGTTGCTGGGAGATCAATCTTATGCCATTGCCATCATGAGCCCTTCGTAGGACAGTGCGGATGTGGGGGTGTCATCTTC